CCACCTGTAGTTTCCTTTAAACTAGACCAGAGCTCCTTTGCGAGGTGGACCTTTTGGATGAGACGATCAAGGGCGAGGAGACCCTGAACATCTTCAAGGCGCTCGCCTGATGTGTTTTTTGTTCGCTTCTCTGGACTGGTCTTCTTTCCAGAGGATATCAATGACCTTTTCGAACACAAGGGTTCAGGCTTTAGGGTTTAGGGTTTTAGGGTTTAGGCTTTAGGGTTTAAGGTTTAAGGTTTAGGGTTTAGGGTTTAGGCTTTAGGGTTTAAGGTTTAGGGTCTAGGGTTTTTATGACTGTGGTTAGGTCAGCATTGGTACTCTCGGGTCTCCGGCACCAGACTTTCAAGGAGAAGCTCCTGAGCTCAGGATAAGCCCTAAACTCCATACTGCTGTTGATATAAATCCTGCATTTCCTTAAGGACCCTAAACCATGGGAATCATGGTATATTACTTGTTGTGGGTAATACTACAGTACCTATAGACCTATAGCCCTGGACTCCTAAGCCCCAAACCCTAAACCCTGTAAACCCTAAACGATGGCTGCTCACGCATCGTGCAGGAAGTTACTCGTTCTTGAGGTTCATGAATGAACGCTATAATGATTAAAAAAATATCATTTCTTTATTTGATTGCTATAATGATTATAAATGTTATCATTCCTAAATTCCGATTGCTACCATCATGGCCGAGATGAGTTTGGACGGCTTTCCTTATTGTTCTCCAGCTCCGACCCCCCCAAGCCTAGACCCCAATTTAAAGATTGTCGAGGGTTTAGGGTTTAAGGTTTGGGTTTAGGGTTTAGGGTGAGGTGATGGGCCACATGCCCATGAAATCACATCTCCCGAAGGTTTCCGCACTAGAAGCCTCCCCTGCAATGCGCCAGATATTCCGGGCGGTTCTTCCCGAATTTCCCAGGCAATTCCACCCGAGCAGTATGCTGCAGATGAGGCGGCAACGGGTGATTCGGGAGGATCTCTCTCTCTCTCTCTCTCTTAACCCTGACCCTGCACCCTACGACCTGAACCCTACCGCCCCCTTGCATAAGGCTGCGATGCCCTGCATGCCTTAGATTCTAGACCGATGGTCTCCATAGATCAGAAAGGTTGCAGTGACACATCAACCGCAGAGATTTGCCAGCAGCCGAATCTGAAATCTTTCAGCCGCAAGAACCCTTCACTGCGCTACGCCGGCACGTCTCGAACCATCTCGAAAGTCCTCCAGTCCTGTGACAGAAGCCTTCCCGACAGCCGAGTTGTCTTGAAGTATTAAGAAGAAGGTGAAGGTTTCCATTGTCGAGCCGCTAGTCATCCGCAGCGCCGTGTGCATGGGCGGTCAGGTCAGCCTCATCGGCTGGTGCATGCGGGTCTCGTGATCGAGCCGCCAAGTGTGAGCTACGTCAGAATGGAGACAGCTGGTATGGCCCACTGGCGCGATCTCTTCTATGAGGTGAGCGATGGCCTCAGACTTTACGCGAGGGATTATCCGGGTCCAAGTCCCGATGCTCCGGTTGCATTACTCATGCATGGCCTGACCCGTAACAGTGCCGATTTTGAGGCCCTTGCTCCGGTTCTTGCCAAGACCCACCGGGTGCTTGTGGTGGATCAGCGTGGTCGTGGGCGTTCCGATCGTGATCCTGATGCTAGCCGGTACCATCTGGCCAGCTATGTGGGAGATATGTTTGAACTTCTCGCTCAGCAGGCTATCACCCAGGTTGCTGTGGTCGGCACATCGATGGGTGGTCTCATGGCCATGGTGATGAACGTCAAGAGTCCCAACATCTTCAGCCATGTTGTCATCAACGACATTGGCCCAGTGGTGGCGCCCGCGGGGCTTGCCCGCATCAAGAGCTATGTGGGTACCGGTTCTCGGTTCTCAACTTGGGAGGAGGCTGCAGCTCACATCAAAGTCCTCAACGAAGCTGCGTTTCCAGCCTACACCCCTGAAGCCTGGATGGCGTTTGCAAGGCGGACGTGTGTTGAAGAGGGGGATGCAGTGGTACTCAACTATGACTTGGCCATCGCTGAGGCCATGAAGCAGCGGGAAGAGGCTGCGGTGCCCCAGGATCTTTGGCCGGCTTTTGAGGCATTGAAGCCGAAACGCACGATGCTGGTACGTGGGGGCATATCAGACTTGCTCGATGTGCCCACTGCAGTGGAGATGCGGCGGCGCCACCCGGAGATGGCGTTCCTTGAGGTACCTAACATCGGTCACGCGCCCATGCTTGATGAGCCGGGCGTCGCGGAGCGCATCGCTGACTTCATCAACGATCGCTCATCCAGACTCTCTCAGCTGTAGGACTCGACCAAAAAGACGAGCGACTCGTGGGTGGAGGGGGCTCACTGAGCATCGTCTACCGGTGTGCCGGCTGGAAAGGGGCTCCACCTTAAGACAACTCGGTTGCAATTACAGCGTGAAAGGACGACTCCCACTGCAAACTCAGCAACTTTCGGATGGAGACCGCTGCACTAAGGTCTGGCTAGCAGTCTGGGATTCAAGGTTTTAGGGCTAAAGGGTTTGAGGGTTTAAGGTTTCGGGGTTTATGGGTTGATTTGTCGAAATCTCCACGATCTACGAGAAGTTTCAGCTTGTTTTGGCCGTTGGTTCACTGAGGTGATCACAGAGGTTGCAAAGAGTTACTTTTGGGGCTTCTTGGGGTGGGTGCAGCGGGTTCGCAGGCCCAAGGCACAATGCTGGGGCACCCTAAGAAACAGTACGGTTGATGATATAAATCCTGCATTACCCATAATAAGGATTATACCATAATGTCCATAGTTTGGGGTCCTTAAGGTACTGCAGGATTTATATCATCAGCAGTATTGCGAACTGTTCCTTGCCTCTTCTTCCGGGGGTCTCCGCGAAAATCTGCGGCACGAAGCCGACAACCTGATACTCCGAAACCCAAAGCCCCAAGCTCTAAAGCCCTAAGCCCCTAAGCCCCTAAGCCCGAAAATCCCCCCAGCCCAAATCCATACACTCCCGGAGGCGAAAACTCGAAGTCGAACACCCCGAAATCCAGAGGCCAAGTGGAAGCTAAGCCCCAAACCTTAAACCATATGGTTTTTTTGTTGACACCTCTTTTTTTTCCAAAAAAAACCCTAAACCCCTCCAACAAAAAACCCGAGAGGCCAAGTGGAAGCTTATCTCCAGCGAGATTCTGGGCCTCGAGCAGGCCTTGCCTCTGGCTCTGGGTGGGTCATTCGGATGTTGAGGGTCCAGGATTTAGGGCTTTCAGCGTATTCTGCGTAGGGTTTTAGGACTCCGGAGTTCGTGGTTGAAGGATTTAGAGATTCATCGTTCGGAGCTTTGAGTTCTGCTGTGTACTGCGTTTGAATTTGTGGGTTTCTGACTTCCGTGTGTATAGGCTTAGGGACTTTATCGTCTTAGGGTTTATAGGGGTTTAGGGTTTAGGGTTGTTGCGGACCCGTAAAGAAACCAAGCCCGAAGGCAAAGCTGGACTGCAGGTCCTTCCACGACGACGTATTCTTTCAATCTACAGCAAGCCCTAACACAGACGGGTTTAGAGTTTAGGGGTTTAGCGTGATTTAACTCGATCAGGCAACTCTGACATTTTGCGCTCTTGGAGCCCTCTCCAATTTCCCTCCGGGTCTATAAGGCAAGGAGGCTTGTCGTTCATGGCTCACTACGCCTGGTCTTGGCCATCTACCGTCTCCAACGGTGTTGAGCCGCTCGTTCACTGCACCGAACCAGGATGCAGGAGAGAGGCCCAGAATTGGATCACTCCCTTAGGGCCTGAGTAGGTAACCTTTAACCTTTTGGGGCTTATAATAAAAACCCTACTATACCCATAGGCCCCCAAGTAGTTCCTTTTTGGGAATACCTTATAGGATTCTACAAACCACAGAAAGGAACTACTTGGGGGCCTATGGGTAAGTTCAAAGGTCAACCTTCTTTGGGCTAGGGTACTCGGCCCCTAGCCTCGTCGGCAGTTGCACAGAGCTGCACAACACCCATGCAATGCTGCAGTGCAAGAAAATCGTGTTAGGGGCCGAGCAATTCAATAAGGTTTTAGAATGCGAGCTTTCGTGTTGGGAAGCCGTAATACATGTTCATACGGTTGATGATATAAATCCTGCATTACCCATCATAAGGAATAGACCTTAATTTCCATAGTTTAGGGTCCTTAAGGTAATGCAGGATTTATATCATCAACAGTGCTTTGTTTTTAAACTCATGGACAGTCTCTCGAGAGTTTAACGAGAGTTTGGCACAGCACCGTGACCCTTTGTCATTTCTCTCTATGTATGTGTGTGCGTGTGTATATATAATATAATATAATATAATATAATATAATAGAATAGAATATAATATAATATAATATAGCATCATATAATATAATATAATATAGTATAGTATAATATAATATAATATAATACAATGTAATATAAT